TGTGTGTGTGTGTGTGTGTGTGTGTGTGTGTGTGTGTGTGTGTGTGTGTGTGATTTTGTGTTTTTCTTTGTGTCAGTTGGGATAATGAATAGAGGGAATTTTACTTTAGCCACAGACATCCTGAAGTAGGATGTCTATGGCTGTGATACAATGTAGCTATTTTATTTTAGAGGCTATGGGACAGGTTTATTAAGCAAAGCAAATGACTGTGATGCTGCAATCACAGTGTGATCTATTAACAGTGTTCTTTAATTTATATATAAAGACCAGCCAGTGCATTTCAGCAATTAGTAACCAGCATTATACCAAGAGCAGCGCAAATTATTGACTCAGAAACCTGCTAACCTGATGAGGGAGGATTAGGGCAAGTATGACGTAGGCCTATCAACAAAAATAATATAGCATAAGCTCAGCTTTTACTTTTTAGGTGTTTCTTGCTGAAAACAGAGCAAAAATTCAGATGATTGAGAGGAGGATGAATGAGAATTTATATGTTTCTGATTCAGGGATAACTATTCTAAGGGAAATTGCTGGGCACTGTACTTTAGGTACTTAAGTGAAGGGCAGTTATCCAGAGGAAAACTGCATTATTATATACTATTCCACCATATGAGCATGTGTCTGTGTGTAACACACATTACTTACCATCACATCCCATGCCCTCAATGCCAGAATCAGCCCTACTGAGGAAGACCTTCCCAATGGCCTTCCATCCAAAAACTAATAGTAATCCATAGCCACTCATGCAATTAACTAATAGATATATATTTAATGAATCTTTTCATGATATACCATCACACTGTAAGTAAAGACAGAAGGAAAGTAAGAAACGTGCATTTTCTGTGAATTAACAAAACCTTTGTTTTATAATTACAGGACAGCTATGATCTATCATCATTTTCGGTATTATTTCACATACTTACTTCTTACAATTTAAACCCAAAGAGTCATGCTGATGGATTTTGTTCATTTACTACAGCAGCTTTTCTTTATTATTTAGAAAAACTGAGATATAATGAAACTCAAATTGCACTTCTTTTCCTTATAGATCTTGGATCCAGATCTGGGATCTCCTTCCAGGTCTGGACAAGGGCATCAGCTAGACCAGGTCCTGGACAGTCTGACGTGTAACCAGGTGGAGTGAGATGGACCTAAACACAATGTGCTAGAGTTGTTCTATCGGTGTTCTATTAGGTCAGGCAAGCTTTGGTGCCTGTAAATGGAATCAATTCCTTGATCCACCAGAAACTATTTGCATACTCTTGCCATGCGATGCCAAGCACCAAGAGAAACCAAGATTCAGTGTACCAATATAGGGTTTGACACTGGGTTCAAGGACTTCATCCAGATACCAAATAGCAGTCATTTGGTATCTGGCATGTAGAGTTCTATGTGTCCCTCCATGGATATGTCACTGACCCACTACCAAACTGATCATGCTGAATGATGCTACAAGCAACATAACACTCTTCACAGCTTCTCCAGACACTAATATATATAT